TCGGCTTGTTTGTCTGTGTTGTTTATTTGTCTGACGGGCAGTATGGTTATACGGGTGTTTGTTGACGGACTGTGATGGAGATTTACGGGTGGGTTGTTAAAAATGTGCGAGGACCGACCCAAAGAATACTCGTATACTTGACATGCATAAATAAAGAAATAGATGCATATTCATCAGTCTAGATATGCATATCAACCGGGAAAAATGATAGTTAAATGTATATCTATCAGATATATAGACAGATATTCATTCATTTCTGCTTGTATGCATGTCTGTATTTAAGAAAATTCGCTTGGTATCTATGATGTAATTAAAGGATTCGTCACCAGTTTGATCCATTAATAAAAATGGTTCAGCTGGGAAGCGAATTTTCTTTGCTAGAGAAATGGGTGGAGGAATTAAGTAATTTCTATCAGTTTTTTAATCGTTGGTCAAGTTCTGTGCTCTTGATGTTTATTTTTGGTATCGTGCAGGGTATCATTTGGTTATTCCTATTAGCATTATAATTATTACTATTATTATCAGTATAATAATAGGTATGATGATTATGATAGTCAGTAGTAGTAGTATTTCCTATGATTTCTATTATCATTGCTATTATCATTGTTATTGTTGTTATCATTATCATTGTTATTATCATTCGTATTTTTATTATCGTTATTGGTATTGTTATTGTTATTATCATTATCATTATTGTTATTGTTATCATTATCATTGTCTTTATTATTATCATGATTATTATTATAATTATTATCATTTTTATTATTATTACTATTATCATTATTACTGTTGTTGTAGTTGTTGGTGCTTTTATCATTATTGTTATCATGATTATCATACTTCATTGTTATCATTATCCTCATTATTACTGCTGTTTTTATTGTTCTTGTTATTGTTGTTATCATTATTATTATCCTCATCATTATTATCATCTTTTATTATCATTATCATTATCATAATGATAATGATTATTATTATTGTATTTTTGTGTATATTTGTGTTTGTGTGTTAATATTTTTGTGTATATTTGTGTTTGTGTGTGTTTGGATTTGTGTGTGTTAATATTTCTGTGTTTTTATGTTTGTGTGTGTTTGTGTTTGGGCTTGTGTGTATCAATATTTGTGTGTTTGTGTGTTGATATTTCTGTGTGTATTTGTGTTTGTGTATTAATATTTTTGTGTGTATTTGTGTGTGTATGTGTTTGTGTGTGTTAATATTTCTGTGTGTGTTTGTGGTTGTGGTTGTACATGTAAGTGTGTATTAATATTTGTGAGTATATGTGTGTGTATAAGTAGCAGGCTTTCTCGTTCTGCAATTAGAAACTAGCGTGATCGTTCACCTTTGTTCTAGAATTTTCAGACGGAAAAAGATCACACGCCCTTTACTGTGCAACAAACTATTGCAAGGGTGACTGAGCTTCCTCTGACCCTTGCAGTGTCTAGAGAAACGACCTGTGGAGAGGCCAATGGGCATATCAAACGAATAAAACAGAAGGAATAAGATTATTGTTCTCTCTCTCTATCTGTCTATCTATCTCTATATATATATCGATCTCTCTCTCGCTTGCTCTCGCTCTTTCCCCTTTTCTCCCACACGCTCTCAAATTTGCTCTCTCTCCTTCTCTCTCTCTCTATCTATCTATCTATCTCTCTCTCGCTCGTTTTCGCTCTTTCCCATTGTCCCCCTCTCGCTCTCAAATTTGCTCTCGTCCCTTCCTTTTCTCTCTCTCTCTCTCTCTCTCTCTCTCTCTCTCTCTCTCTCTCTCTCTCTCTCTCTCTCTCTCTCTCTCTCTCTCTCTTCTCTCTCTCTCTCTCTCTCTCTCTCTCTCTCTGACAGTATGTCACAGCAAAGAATATCCATTGTAACAAATGGAATTAAAACTAAATCTTAAATCTAAATCTAAAAATCTCTCTCTCTCTCTCTCTCTCTCTCTCTCTCTCTCTCTCTCTCTCTCTCTCTCTCTCTCTCTCTCTCTCTCTCTCTCTCTCTCTCTCTCTCTCTCTCTCTCTTTCTCTCTCTCGGTGCTGGTCTAGCAATCTTGCGGACCTGCGTTCAATCCCACGCCCGGCCAGTGAGTGGTATCCCCGGCCATTCCTTGCACACAGGGGGAGATTTGGGCAAAATAAAACAGACAGTATGTCACAGCAAAGAATATCCATTGTAACAAATGGTATTAAAACTAAATCTTAAATCTAAATCTAAAATCTCTCTCTCTCTCTCTCTCTCTCTCTCTCTCTCTCTCTCTCTCTCTCTCCTCTCTCTCTCTCTCTCTCTCTCTCTCTTCTCTCTCTCTCTCTCTCTCTCCCTCTCTCTCTCTCTCTCTCTCTCTCTCTCTCTCTCTCTCTCTCTCTCTCTCTCTCTCTCTCTCTCTCTCTCTCGCTCCATCTATCTATCTATTTATTTATCTATCTCGCTCTCGCTCTCTCTCTCCATCAATCGATCTATTTATCTATCTAAGTGTCTACAACACCATTTCACACACGTTCCATCCTCCTTCCAGGGCGACTGCGGCTGCGACTACATGTGTGTCTACCTGGATGAGAACCTCAGGGAAAAGCAGTGCATCTGTGCTGAGAACTGGGTCTTGAACACAGACAATTACACCTGCATCTGTAAGTACCTTTATTCAGCCTGAGTGTGTGTGTAAATTTTTTTTTTTATGAATATTCCTCGTGTGTTGCTTTTACCTGATTATTCCTATGTATTATATATGTTTTTTCTTTCTTTTTCTTTGTCTTTTTCTTCTTTTTCTTCTTTCTGTGTAGTAAAATACTGATCTTCTTCAATTGGGTTATATTATGGCAGATTGTATATGTACATACATAATATCTGCTATTGCCTATATACGTGTTCATATTATATGTCTGGTATGTATACATATGTGTGTGTGTGTGTGTGTGTGTTCGTGTGTGTGCATGGAGACTGGACTAAAGAGCATGGATGCATCAGGACTTAATTAAATTTCGAAATATAAAGTACGAAAACACACACACAAATATAAATACATATCTATTTATCTTCATTTGTATATACACACTTACATTTATATATGTGTGTGTATTAGGGTGTGTGCGGTGTTGTTGTGTGTGTTGTGTGGTGTGTGTGTGTGTGTGTGTGTGTGTGTGTGACGCAGTGTGTGGTGTGTGTGTGTGGTGTGTGTGTGTGTGGGTGTGTATGTGTGCTGTTATATAATACATTTATATACATATACATATACAGATAAATAGATGAGTGCGCGTGTGTGCGTTTACGTCTATTTTCGTTTTATTTCATTCTTTGTGTTTCGAAATTTCATTAACTTCTGATGCATGCACGCTCTTTAGTCCAGTCTGCGTTGCATTATGAAGTTTTCTTGTCCGCAGATTGAAATAACTGAAGCTCAAAGGAAACCGGCTTTTCATGTTCTTATTGAAATGCAGTTGTTGCTTGCGAAAGAAACTTATTAGACGCGGAGGGTAAACACCCCTCCCCCCCCCTCAACCCTTCCACCCCTCCTCCCGCTTCTCTCTCTCTCTCAACTCGCTCCCTTTCACTTGATACATATTTCTCTCTCTCTCTCTCTCTCTCTCTCTCTCTCTCTCTCTCTCTCTCTCTCTCTCTCTCTCTCTC